ATAGAGATAGATCGAGACGCCTCATAGGTCTTCCACAAAGCACATACCTTGATAAGATTTTGAAGAGGTTCAAAATGGATCAGTCCAAGAAGGGGTTCTTGCCTATGTTACAAGGTGTGAGATTGAGCTTGGCTCAGTCACCGACCACGGCAAAAGATAAAGAAGAGATGAGTGTCATCCCCTATGCTTCAGCCATAGGATCTATTATGTATGCCATGCTGTGTACCAGACCTGATGTAAATCTTGCCGTGAGTTTGGTAGCTAGATACCAAAGTAATCCCGGCAAGGAACACTGGACAGCAGTCAAGAATATCCTGAAGTACCTGAAAAGGACAAAGGACATGTTTCTCGTTTATGGAGGAGACGAAGAGCTTGTCGTAAAGGGTTACGTCGACGCTAGCTTCGACTCAGATCCGGATGACTCTAAGTCACAAACCGGATACGTGTATATGTTGAATGGTGGAGCAGTAAGCTGGTGCAGCTGCAAGCAGAGCGTCGTGGCGGGATCTACGTGTGAAGCGGAGTACATGGCAGCCTCGGAGGCAGCGCATGAAGCGATTTGGGTGAAGGAGTTCATCACCGACCTAGGAGTCATACCCAATGCGTCGGGGCCAATCAAACTCTTCTGTGACAACACTGGAGCTATTGCCCTTGCCAAGGAGCCCAGGTTTCACAAGAAGACCAGGCACATCAAGCGTCGTTTCAACTCCATCCGTGAAAATGTTCAAGATGGAGACATAGAAATTTGCAAAGTACATACGGATCTGAATGTCGCAGATCCGTTGACTAAACCTCTCTCGCGAGCTAAACATGATCAACACCAGAACTCTATGGGTGTTCGATTCATCGCAATGTAACTAGATTGGTGACTCTAGTGCAAGTGGGAGACTGTTGGAAATATGCCCTAGAGGCAATAATAAAAGTATTATTATATTTCATTGTTCATGATAATTGTCTTTTATTCATGCTATAACTGTATTATCCGGAAATCGTAATACACGTGTGAATACATAGACCTCAATATGTCCCTAGTGAGCCTCTAGTTGACTAGCTCATTGTGATCAACAGATAGTCATGATTTCCTGGCTATGGACATTGGATGTCGTTGATAACGGGATCACATCATTAGGAGAATGATGTGATGGACAAGACCCAATCCTAAGCATAGCACAAAGGTTGTTTAGTTCGTTTGCTAGAGCTTTGCCAATGTCAAGTATCTCTTCCTTAGACCATGAGATCGTGTAACTCCCGGATACCGTAGGAGTGCCTTGGGTGTATCAAACGTCACAACGTAACTGGGTGACTATAAAGGTGCATTACAGGTATCTCCGAAAGTAGGTGTTGGGTTGACACGGATCGAGACTGGGATTTGTCACTCCGTATGACGGAGAGGTATCTCTGGGCCCACTCGGTAATGCATCATCATAATGAGCTCAAGGTGACCAAAGTGTTGGCCACGAGATCATGCATTACGGTACGAGTAAAGTGACTTGCCGATAACGAGACTGAACAAGGTATTGGGATACCGACGATCGAGTCTCGGGCAAGTAACGTACCGATTGACAAAGGGAATTGTATACAGGGTTTGATCGAATCCTCGACATCGTGGTTCATCCGATGACAACATCGAGAAGCATGTGGGAGCCAACATGGGTATCCAGATCCCACTGTTGGTTATTGACCGGAGAACGTCTCGGTCATGTCTACATGTCTCCCGAACCCGTAGGGTCTACACACTTAAGGTTCGATGACGCTAGGGTTATAAAGGAAGTTTGTATGTGGTTACCGAATGTTGTTCGGAGTCCCGGATGAGATCCCGGACGTCACGAGGAGTTCCGAAATGGTCCGGAGGTAAAGATTTATATATGGGAAGTCCTATTTTGGCCACCGGAAAATGTTCGGGATTTTTCAGTATTGTACCGGGAAGGTTCTAGAAGGTTCCGGAGTGGGGCCCACCTGCATGGGGGACCCACATAAACGTGAGTAGTGGGGGAAAGGCTCCACACCCCTGGTCAAGGCGCACCAAGATCCCCCCTTAGAAGGAATAAGATCATATCCCGAAGGGATAAGATCAAGATCCCTAAAAAGGGGGGATAACAATCGGTGGGGAAGGAAATGATGGGATTTCTTTCCTCCCACCTTGGCCAACGCCCCAATGGACTTGGAGGGCAAGAAACCAGCCCCTCCACCCCTATATATAGTGGGGAGGCGCATGGGAGCTTAACACAAGCCAAGGCGCAGCCCCTCCCCTCCCCAACACCTCTCCTCCTCCGTATATGCTTGGCGAAGCCCTGTCGGAGTACTGCTGCACCAACTACACCACGTCGTCGTGCTGCCGTTGGAGCAATCTTCCTCAACCTCTCCTTCCCCCTTGCTGGATCAAGAAGGAGGAGACGTCTCCCGTCCCGTACGTGTGTTGAACGCGGAGGTACTGTCCGTTCAGCACTTGGACATCGGTGATCCGAATCACGTTCGAGTACGACTCCATCATCACCATCCCCTTGGCTAGCTTCCGCTCGTGATCTACAAGTGGTATGTAGATGCAAACTCTCTCCCTTAACTCGTTGCTTAGATGAACTCATAGATGGATCTTGGTGAAACCGTAGGAAAAATTTTAATTTTCTGCAACGTTCCCCAACAAGATCCTGGTACACATCATATTGAAACAGATATAGACCATGAGACCGAGTCAAAGGTCTTGACCACATGCACCTTTGATGGAGGCCATTTAGATTTTCGAAAGAAACATGCTCCCTTTGTTTTTATTTATTTAGTCTATGTATTAACTTTGCCTGAAGTCAATTTTTGTAACGTTTGATCAAGTTTATAGACAACAATATAAACATTTACAATAACAAATTTATATAATGTGACAATATTTAAATGATGAAACCCATGGTATTAATTTGATGGTGTGTATGTTCTTTTTACAAACTTTATGAAAATTTATAAAAAAATGATTTTAAACAAAGCTAATGTGCGGGTAAACAAAAACGGATATCTAAGTTCGAATTTTAAACAAAGTGGTTCATCACATTTTTACCTTCGCTGACCCTAGTCAATATTTTTCACGAAACCCCATGAAAAATCATCTCTTCTAATTTTAGGCCCTTGCCCTGTCTTCCCCGTGCTCCACCGCCGGCCCCGCGAAACCCCTGTCCTCCCCGACCTCGCGCCGCCCCGCCGCCACCTCATCGCGGCCTCACTCCTCGCGCCTCCCGGATCTCGCGCCGCGACTCTGCTCCAGCCGCCGGAGGGCTAAGTAACGGGCCCTAACTCAGCCCCTCCAGCCGCTCCCAGTCCCGTGCTCTGCCCAAGCTTGCTCCAGCCGCCGGAGTGCCGCAGGACAGGGAGATGAGGCCACCGCTCCGCCGCCTCCCCTCCTTGCTCGTCCGCGGCCTCCGTCGCCATCTTCCTCTCCGCCCGAATCTTCTTCCTCGCCGGCGGCCACATTGCCCATCTTCCGCCCTTCCCGGAGCTTCTTTCTCGCCGGCGGCTGCCTTCACATCTTCTTCCTCGCCAGCGGCCAGCGGCCACCGTCGCCGTCCCCCTCCGCACCCGTATCGCGGCCGTATTTGCCAAGCATCCCTGCCGCATCCCGAATTCTTTCGTTTCTTGTATCAAATCACAAAACAAGAGATACTCAGGGATACGCGTGTCCCCACGCGTCCTGGCGCACCCCCCTGTCGTGTGCGCGCCGCTCAGGGGCATGGCGACGTTTTCGAGTCTGGTGGGTGATTGCTCTACTTCTGGCTGCCCCCCCCCCCGAGCATTGAAGATGACCGTGACGACGACGATCTTGATTCCGAGGATTGGGATGGCAACAATGATGCTGCTGGTGGGAGAGGGTCCAACTCTGATCGTTCTGATGATGAGGTAGATGATTCTATATCTCCAGCTCGATAATTTAGTATGATAGTAGGTATGATGATATATGTGAAACATTTGCCTTGTTGGTTTGTTTATTAAGTAGTCGTTGGTATGAGTGAAACAGCCAACATGATATCTGAGGCAGAGAGGTCACTGCCACTCTCAAGAAATAGGTTTTGGATTTTTTTTTGTCCGTTACTCTGTTATTCAGCCAATATTGTCCCACTAAATCAAAATAAAGAGTTGACATATCTCAGTAATATGGAGTCTGTTTGCGATGCAATCAGCTAATTAGTGCAATCATGAGATCGATAACTTGAGCCCCATCTGTCAGTCAACACCCATCTTCTTCACCACACAGATATTTTCAGCTGGAAGTTAGCACCCAGCAAACAAAGGAAGGCCCATTAGAGAACCATTTACGCTTGCATGCTACACAATACCGGAAAAAGAAACAAGGACTGTTACCACAAGAAATCTTTAGACAAATAAATGACCTTTAACTCATAGCCCTGGGAACACATTTGCACGACAAAGACGCGCATTTCCTTCTAGTTCGATGCAAGGACACTGATTTGTGTAATTTTGCAGGCTACGAACAGCTTCATTGATTCCTTTGGACAGAGAAAGAAAGTGAGACTCGTGGAAGAGAGCAGTAAGAAGAGGAAACGATATGGAGGTGAAGCACAAGGAAATCAACCTCCTTTTGATGGTAGCCAGGACGACCCAGTGCCCCTTCCAAATCCAATGGTCGGGTTTAATCTGCCTGGTGACAGGCTACGGTCAGTTAAGAGAAGGCTTTCAGAGCAAGCTGTTGGACCCCCCCTTCTTTTATTATGAGAATGTGGCCTTAGCCCCTAGAGGCGTATGGAGAACTATTTCAAGAACCTTGTATGACATCGAACCAGAATTTGTGGATTCTAAGTACCTTTGTGCAGCTGCCAGGAAAAGAGGTTATATACACAATCTACCAATTGATAACAGGTCACCTCTCCTTCCCCTCCCCCTAAAGAATATATTTGAGGCCTTCCCTGATTATGAAAAGTGGTGGCCTTCCTGGGACCCAAGAAGGCAGCTAAACTGCCTGCTGACGAGTGTGGCAAGTGCAAAGCTGACAGAACGGATCAAGTATGCTCTTGCAAGCTCAGGCAGTCTACCATCTCTTAAGTGTTCAGAAGTATGTCATGGATGAATGCAGGAAATGGAATCTTGTCTGGATTGGAAAGAACAAGGTTGCGCCTTTGGAGCCCCATGAGATGGAGTATCTACTTGGTTTCCCAAGAGACCACACGAGGGGAGTCTGCAAGATGGAGAGGTACAAAGCTCTTGGGAACTCATTTCAAGTGGATACAGTTGCTTATCACCTGTCAGTGTTGATGGACATGTTTCCTGATGGTATAAATGTGCTGTCCTTATTCACCGGTATTGGGGGAGGAGAAGTAGCCCTGCACAAGCTTGGGGTCCACATGAAGACAGTGGTTTCTGTTGAGATTTCTGAAGTGAACAGGAGGATTTTCAGAGGTTGGTGGAATCAGAATCAAACGGGTGGCAGTCTGATTGAGATTCCAGGCATGGAGACTCTCACTAATGATACAATCGAGTCATTGACTAGAAGATTGGGTGGTTTTGACTTGATAATTGGAGGCAGCCCATGCAACAATCTTACCGGCAGCAACCGGCACCACCGTGATGGTTTACAGGGCGAGCAATCTGCTCTGTTCTACGAGTACTCGAGAATACTGAATGTTGTCAAGTCCGTTATGGCGAGGATGTAGCCTATCCATTGTAGTGGCTGTTTGTCCATTTAGTAGTGTTTATCTCTAGAAACTGAATGTCCCAAGTGTAAACAGAGGTGACTTGGAGGAGGTTTATCTGAGAGTCACATTTAGCATATGATTCATTGTTGCTAACTAGTACGTAATTTAGAACCTGTTCTTCTTTACCCAAAGAAAGTCTACCGTGGTCCCCTTAAACTCTTACCAGAGTCTAATTTCCATCCTCAACTCCAAAACTGCTTACTTAACATCGCCAACTCAAATAAAGGTACTACCTCTGTAAAGTAATAGAAGACCTTTTAGATCACTACAGAGGGAGTACTACTGAATCAACAGTGTGTGTGAGTTTGGGATGATGAATGCCTACATAAAGTTGTGATCTGATTGTTTAAGTGATGACATGTTGCCATATTTCTCCAATACTTTATAATGATACACCTGCATTTGTACTCTTGTTATGTAAATCTGAAGTTCTGTATATAGGTTGCCTATGATAACATTTTGAGGTTCTTGGTGTGTTGCCTATGAGCTCTATCATTACTTTGGCTTCTTTGAAGTATGATTAAATGGATTTCGTTTTCAGGTGAGTTCTATTAACTTAAACTCGGGTAGTCTTGAAATGTTGCATTGCGTTCTATTGTTTCCCTTCCATAATTCCTGTTGACTGAAAATAGAGGTAAAGTCATGGGAAGGGTAGCTATTCTAGGATGCATTATTGCTTGTTGTGTCTTTCAGTCTCTGTTTGCTAGCAGCTACTTATTTGTAAAGCAAACTTGTATTGTGGCCTTTGCTGTTTATATTTATGTACACAGGGAAGTGAGAACTGTTTATATTTCTGTACACATAAAGTGCATTGTACTCTTATTTATGTTTACTTTAATTCCAGAATTTTCAGCATTTGTCTCGTGAGGCAAAGGTAAAATTGTAATTTTATCAGACGCATTTGTCTTGTTCTTGGTTCTGGCCTCTTCAAGGAAATTGTCGGGCAATTTAAGACTGGAATTTGGTGTTTCACTTGCAGTGCAAAAAAACTGATACGTTCACACAGATATAAGACAGTCTACAGTAGAGTGCAAACAAAGCTGTTACAGTTGCAGAATTAGTATCTGGTCTATACTGCAATGCAAACATAGCCGATGCGCTTTCAGAAATAACTTATTCTGTTCTTTTTCTTGCTAGATTATTTTGATTTGCATGTTAAGTTGTCCATATAGTCTTCCTAGCTGACTTCTGGCCTGGCATCTGGACCTGTTCGGACGGGCTCTGGCATATCTGTGCTGACAACTTCTGTGATCTGCCGTATGATAACTGTGGCCTCTCAACTCTCACTGAAGCTTCATTTGTTTTCAGTTACATGTAGATGTCTTTTGCAGCTGGAAGCTGAGATTTCTTTAGAATGTAATGGCATCATATTCTTGTGACAGTAGTAGCATGCTGTCGCTGGTTACTCGTGGACTGATTATTCGTTTGCTGGTGCATTTATGTTCTTTAAAGCCTTTGATGATCCAGATGGAGATATGAAACTCAGGGCATTCATGGCGCCGTTCAAGCTTTGCCTTTAACCCTTTGTCCAGAGGCAGACTAAGGGAGGGAGCTGCTGGAATGCAAGGCTGATGAAGATGTCACCATTAACAAAAACTTGCACTTTCTTCTGAGTCTACATAATTATAGTATGGAGGCATTTGTGGTTGCTCATCTTGCAAGAGGAAATCCGTCTATACAAATTAACCTTCACAGCACATGGTAATGATTCAGGTGGTTCTTTATTTAGCTTTGCGTCCATGGATATAGGAGTCAGCAACAGCATCAGGCTGGAATGGCAGCGAGAGATTCAGATAATTGTTCGAACATTTTTGCACATTCTTAAATAATTTGTACTGGATACATGTAAACCACATGTATATATTTGTTCTAAACAAAGTACTTCCACTATATTTAAGTTTCAAGTCAACATCCAGTTCACAAGTTATTGACATTGTGAATCGCTTAACATGATTTATTTAATGTTGTTTATGCTCTGCATGAATCTAAATATCAGCGCATCCGCAATAATTTCTTTCCAGCTATGGCCACATTTCAGTGCAAAAAAGATAACCCTCTCACAATATATGGCACCACCCAGTTTATTAGTGCACAACTTACAAACCAATCAACCCAGACAAAAACAACTTTACAAAAGAGAAAAAAGTATATATTCGAGAAAAGAAAGACCAAAACGGTATCCCTGGTATGAAACGCAGCGCCAAACACCATGAGATCCAAAACATCTTCCTTTCGCCGCGATCTTGGTAGAGATAATCCAACTTCGCAGATGAAATATCTTCACCGAAGCGGTTTCTGAGCTCTGCTGTGTTGTATAATTTCCTCCCAAAAAATGTACACCATATACAACTAGCCATCACATTTTCCAGTCTGCAAAGAATGAATTCTGTGGCCCAAACATACCAGCTGGCAGGATCAGCCTAGGGAGCCTGTTCTGTGTTGTGGCTTCTGGGAGCCACTGCTGTCAGGCAAGAACAGGTACCGGAATTTCGAGTCGAACGCGACCACAGTGAAACTGCGTGCCCCGAGAAGCCGCTGCCTCCTCTGAGAGGAATACTCTCGGATGGTTGCAACTTGCTCAGGCGAGAGGTGATGGCAGATCCAGTCCGTGAACAGGGAGTCTTCGACGGCCCCCTTGGCATAGCTCTGCAGTAACTTTGGGATCAGTAGTTTCCCTCGGTCACTTATGCCGACAGACGCTTGGATGTAGTCTCTCAGTGACTCCAGAAGCTCATTCCTGACATTTGCTGCCGTGAAGATTCTTACCTGTATGACAGCAGATCATCATCACCTCAATAACATAAATATTACTAGAATATACACACACAGAGGGCAAGATAGATTATACTTTATGATTCTTATAATTGGTTATGACAGTGTACATGTTCAAATATCCTAGATAGTACGTTAAAAAGGCGTGTGAGCAAGGTTTGAATAAACAAGCATTGTGTAACAATATACGTGTATTTCCAGGAAATTATGACAGTCTCTTAATGTACTTACAGCTGGTGAAGAGAACATTCCACAACTCAGACCAAACAGCAGAAGGGGCTCAGCTTGATCGATCGAATACTTCTTGTGCCCCTCAGAAATTTTGAACTTCTGAAGAGCCAACATCAAAGACTACAAACAGGCAGGGAAAACAATAAGAGGTTATAATAAAACTAGGGGCAAAACAAAATGGATTAAGAAAAGAGTTATACAAGTTGGGGCCGATGCACCGGAGTCTTCATCTTTAGTATCACAAACTCTATTTCAGCTGCACTGAACGACTGCCCACCAACTGTGTAACAGGCCTGCATCACCAACTCACTTTAACCAACTGCCTCACTGAAGAAAGATGACATGTATTTGTTCAACTGGGAACAGAGACTCGACAAACCTTTTGCATCAGAGAGAAAAGCTTGATGTCATTCCGGGGAACTCCATATGCGAGGTATGACTGGTAGATGCCAGTACAGAATTGTTAGTGCACGAGGTTCAATAAGCAAGTGATAGAAAGTTAAAGAAAATTAAGGCTTTTTATGAAGAAAGATGTGGAATGGAAATACAGCAGAACTGAGTGGACTTATTTTTCTTTTCAAATACAATCCATGCCCGTAAAAACAGCCTCGTAAGTAACAATTTGTACTTACATGCATTATTAGCGCATTATACAAGTTAATCCAAAAGGCTAGCCGCTCATCAGAGTTCAAACAATCAGGGTTAACTTTTGATAGCTGCTCCACGAGAAATCTGCAAACCAATGAGAATGATACACGAATTACTAAATACATTCATAATAAATAGTAAGAACTAAAAGTTGCTCCAGAATAATGGGCTTATAGGCAGAAATAACACCAATTGGGAAAATTTGACACGAAAAAGATGTTTTCATGCATCGTGATACCTTGTGGTGCTAAAAATGATGACAAGCAGCCCAATTCAAAGAAAAAATTACTTAGTTTGATTGTTTCCAGCAACTAAAGATTACATGGGAGTATCCTATCCTTCCCTCAGTTCAGTTATTTGTAGATTCAATTGGGGCAACACAATTAGAAATGTTGATCCGACGCTAACAGTTCCACATATATGACATTTGTAAGTACGCAAAATATCTAGAGTAGGATTGTTGTTAGCTTTGGCCGAGGTTGCAGCAGCAAACCTGAACTTTTTTAGAGCTTCAGATGCATATTCAAGTTGCTCCTTTCCAACCGACATCCAAGATACTTCAGCTGCTGAACAGTAGTTTCCGATGTCTCTTCGGGTTCCCTTTCCATTAACTTTATACGGGTCAAAGTTTCTGGCTTTATTCATCATCTCATCATTGTGATAGGAGTCAACCGAAGAGCTCCGTAGCATTGAGGGTAATATGGATGAATCTGAGAAGGATGCCAGTGTAGAACCAGATAGACGCTCCGCTGAGGAAGATGAACAATCAGAAGATGCCTTCGCAGATATCTTGGAGGATTCAGATAAACGGAGGAAAATGTTTCTCATGCAGCGCACCATCTCCTCTGATAGCTGATTTGGATAGTTCCAAAGATTTCCTGCTTTCATGCTAGTTAATTTTTGAATGGACTGTTCAAATGATAAATCATCGATCTTTTCATCTTCTTTGCCTTGATTTTCCACCGAGCATGACCCTTGCATCTGCAGAAACATAAATTAAGCTTCAATATACTAATATCTATGACAAATACACGAATAGGCTGTTATGCATAAACATGAAAAGGACCTCTTCGTCCCGGTGCTTTTCCAACAGTCCATTCAAAGAGACATCTCGGTGTTTCTCGAGCAGCCTATTTAGGGAAACCATTTGTCTATCTTCGGATTCTTCTCCAAGATCCTGGTCATAATCAAGTTCTGTGAGTAAATCTTGTTGCATTGATCTCATTGACTCGGATCCTCCAAACTTCAAATCCCTCAATGATGATATGTGCTGATGAGAAATATAATCAAGAAACCGTCAACAACACTCCTGTATCAGGAATAATGCACCCCAAGGAGATATTTTGTCAGATAATAATACTTACTTCTTCCCATGTACACATGCAAGTTGACAGCGAGCGGTCATCTGAGGACGCAGATGGCAAGCCTCCTGGGTTATTTTGGGCAAGTAGCCGTTCATTCCTTTCATGACAAAGCTGGTAATACAGATCATTTAACTCCTTTTCGAGGTTCGAAACGGCACCCTCCAGGGAGGCAATGTTAACTAGTAGCTCCTGTGTCTACACATGATGGAAGGTTAAAACAAGATTAGTGAATGCACATTGACTTTCTAGTAAATGACAGTGTAGTATAAATAGCTCCTGCACCTCAGGTGGGATCTTGGCAGAAGAATTCAATGCAGGCGGCGGCGCATTCTGCGTGACGGCCTCCGCCAGCGCCACGTGCAGCTCGATCTCTTTCTCGAGCTGCCTCTGCAGTTTCTTGACCTGCACGGTTCCACTTACCGGATAAGAACAAACACCGAATCCAGGCACCGACATAACATTACATCGAACCGTCGAAAAACGACATATAACCAGCGACAAGAAGAGTAATCACACACTTCCTGCTCGAGCTCCGAGCGGTAGCTCCGCGTCCTGCCCCTGCGGCTCTCCTCTCTCCTCCCGCCGCGGTTGCCCTTGCCATCATCCTACAACAAGAACAGACCAAAGCAATTCAGTCAAGATAATGCTATTAAACTACTTTATTGATGCATCCAATCTTGGAGACAGAGGTCAAGTGAGCACTGAGCAACAAGATTGCCGGTTGACCGCACAGCCTGCGGTGGTGATTTAGTTGGGAGTGGGGACAGACGAGGCGAGGGACTCCATCCGGGACAAGGACGTTGTCCCCCTGTACGGCGCCCTCGGCGCGACGGCACCCGCAAAGGGACAGCGATTTGATCTGGTTCGCGGCGTTAGGTGCTAAAATCTCGCCTTTCTACACCAAGAATCTAGGCTTTTCCCAACCACGCTATGGCTCAATAATCCGGACATTTAAATTTAGAAATAATAGGAGCATGATTTCTGTGGGTCGTGACTTGACAGTACGGAGCAGGAACTCACCCCGGAGCAGCTGGCCGCCGGCGCCGGCGCGTCGACGTCCCCCGCGGACACGTGCGGCGTGCGCTGCAGCGCGCGGCCTGGCTCGGCGGGCCTCCGGGCGCCGCCGCCGGCCGCCTTCTGGATCAGGGCGGCGGAGACCATGTCGGCGGCGGCGGAGGGGAGCGCGTCCTCGGCCCGCGCGCACGGCATGGGGGGCGGGCCTCCGGTCGGCCAGTCCTGCCGCCACCTGACCAGACCCTACGCGGCAACGGCGGTCGCACCGCGGCGCGCCTGCTCGACGGGGTGCATTGCGTCGGCGTGGGCGTGGGGGACGGGGGGAGGCGTTGGGTGCGTTGGGCGCGCGGCGAGGCCCGGGAGGCCTGCTTTATGGCGGGCGGGCGGGCGTTTGGGCGCGGGGCGGGGCGGCGGGCGTGGGAGGGGCCGAGGGAGGGAGGGAGGGAAAGGGTGGACTTTTGGCGGAGTGGGGGGCGAGTGGGAGGGCACTAGTAGTACGCTGAAAGGTGACGACGGTGTGACGATTCTGACCATGATGGCCTGCGGTGCGGGCGTGCGCGTGCCCTGCCGTGCCGTTGGTTGGTTCTTGGTTGCAAGCCCTCCTCCGCCGGTCAACTTCTTGGTCATCATGCTGGCCCGTGGTCACCGACTCACCGTGACGGATGCTGAACACAAATTGCTGCCACGTTATTTTGAATTTTGGACTTGCTTGCTGTGCTTGTGCTGCTGTTGTGTTTGGGCGGTCTGATTGCAACGGGTGGCCTCTTGCGCTGTCTCTTCTGTGTTTGCTTGCTGCGCTGTTTGGAACCATTTGACAATAACAGTTGCCTTTGCCTCCTACTATTACTTGGCCCGTAGCAATGATGGTACAACTCGCGTCTTCAAAACAATCCAAAAAACTACTCCCTCCGTTACACTGCATTGTCAAAAACGCTCTTATATCATGGGACAGAGGGAGCACGTTTCCTACATTTTTACTGCTCTCATGTTGTTTATTTATGGTTTTAGATTACCTTATTACTCTCTCCGTTCCAAAATAGATGACTCAACTTTGTACTAACTTTAATGCAAAGTTGGGTCATCTATTTTGGAACGGAGGGAGTATATGTGTTCGAGGAATCCATTATGCTGTTCATGTCATTAGTGTCATGAACCAGTGATTGGCTCGAAAATTCTTGCTACAATATTAGCAACAACAAAAAAATCTTGCTGCATAGGCTTTTTACACCGAAGGAATGGCACCAAAGTGGATTAGAGCAAGACCAACAAAGTGTTCATCAGAAGACGATCTGGCTTTACTGATAAATAAAAATGAACTAAAGCACATCAGATCCAAGAAAATGAACCACACGAGAGCGACAGAGATCCATCCTTGGCAAAGCTCGTTCAAAGTCTGCCAACTATGGTCCCATCTTTTGCATGCATCTTGACGCTCTTCCAAAACCCACGACGACCAAACCTGCACCAAACATAGACTAAACACAAAGCTTTTGAAGACCCACGCGTGGCCAACCTTGACACCTTTCACCCAAAGGCATCCCCGGCTTTAGCCCGATTCTGATGCTTTGCCCAAAGGCCAAAGCAAACAATCACGGTATCTTTTCCACGAGAGCTATATATACAAGTTTGCAGGCAGGCATGGCCGTTCATTCACAACGAATAGAAGTGATCGTTTACAACGGTTAAACCGTTCTTCCTCAGGCACGGTTTCAACTTTGAGCCGCCAGCATCGAAGATATATGATGTCCGCTTTCCAAACTTCAAATTATCTCACGATCGAACAACGATCCTTCCTGGGTCTTTGTAATCAGAACAAGTTAGTACCACAAGCTTAGTTTCTACTTCTACTCCTTTTTGCCACCCAACTTTGGAAGCCAGAAGCTTTCAGCCTCCTGCGACCGTAGGCCGACAACATGCTTCAGAGAACTTATTCCACAGTATGTACCTCTGGATCATGCCGCGCACTGCAAGGACTCCATCTTGTGCAGATTATCGGCGGCATCAAGCTCAGTAGTTGCCGCCTGTATTGCGTCTAGCAGACCTTTGTCACTGCTAGCATGGAAAAAGCGCCGTCGTCTCTGAGAATCATACACAATGTCCTGCCAGACAGACCTGTTCTTCGACAGAGTCGTCGCGTTGCCAATCACCCACAAGCAATGCCTGCGGACCAAAACAAAACCACACAGTTCATCCAAGGCAGTCATAGACTCATGGTACTACATAACAACACATGACCACAAGGTAATTAAATGTTTGGCTTACTTGGCCCTGGTGAGAGCCACATTGGTACGCTTTGCGTCCCTGAGGAACCCGACGGCGCCATCCTCGTTGCTCCTCACCGTGGATATGATGATGACATCTTCCTCCCCGCCCTGGAACCCGTCCACCGACTTTATCTTGAGAGAGAAACCATCGCGGCAACCGTATGGTTTCTCCAGCTTCTCCTGGAACGCTCTCACCTGAGCGTTGTACGCCGACAGGATGCCAACGGATAGCCTTGTTCCCGAAGAAGACGACTCTGTGATGAGGCGTAAAGAAATAAAGAGAAAAAGTTATGCCACAAACAAAGGCCAGCATTGTATGTCCGCTTGTACATATGACAGACCTCGGAACAGTCTCTCCACTATCAGCGAGACGACGGCGATCTCGATGGTGTTTTTGGGGCTCCGGCTATGCTCCTCACTGCTCTCGCGCCCCCCACGCACGTTGATGAACGAGTAGGGCCCAAACATGTTGCCTCTCAAGAGGCGGCGCCGGTGGCTCTTGGAGACGACGTTGGGGCCGTCACCTACCTTGCCGTCATAAAACCTCCAGACAGGGAACCTGCTTATCTCCGGATGCATCCTGTACTGGGTGTCGAGGAGGTGCTTGCGGCAGCCTAGCGAGATCAGCCTCTCGAAGATGCTTCTTCCGAAATCCGCATTCTCGGATATCTGCAACGACCATTTCGCAAGCAAAGGGTCTTATTAGTCAAGTCTACTCTAGTACTAGTAACTACAGTACTAACTAGTGAGTGAACTGGCTTCAGAGATCATACTTTGCTCTTGACGAGAGCAGGTAGCTGGCGCTCATCCCCGATGAAAACAGCATGCCTTATACAAGGCAGCTGCAGCGGGATCATGGCCTCGCACTCCTTGAGCTGCGCGGCCTCGTCGACGACCAACAGCTCCAGAGGTGGGAAGATCTCAGGTTCTTTGCGTTGCTGTTGTCCTTGCCCGCCAACAGGTTTGTGGTTATCCGTGGGCAGTACGTTATACAGCCTGAAAGAAGTGGAAACAGTGCACAGGATACTCTTGGCTCTCTTCAGCAGGTAGGTTTCAATCGGTCGCTTGTCGTAGTAGCCGGGGAGCTTCAGATTGTTGCGCAGATACTCCAGTTGTTCGAGACAGAGTGACCTCGCTTTCCTGAATCTGCATTCCTCGCATGGAGGATCGCTGCTCACAGAGCACGGGTTGCAGGCATCGCCGACATCGCTCACCCATGCCTCGTGTCTGTCGCCGGCACCGGCGTCTAGCAGCGCACCGAGAACTCTTGTTGCTTCTACCACATCGGACATGCACCAGAAATTCGGCGCCGGCGTAGGGTCCCTTGGGAAATCATTCTGCAATGTCTCGATGCAGTGGCACAAGTTGTGAGCGAGTTCCTTGTGAGTGGCTCTCACAAAATCCTTGAATGACAGGGTAATAAACACTTGCACGTCTCCTTCATTATTGCATCTATCCTTTTCATGGCCATTCCCTTTATTGCATCTTGCAACATTTTTGTTCTTCTTATCTAGTACATTTGATGAGATGTTCCTCTTCTTCTCCTCCTCCTCCTCACGGTCCTTGGTAATTTTGTCGGTGTACAGCTGGTATTTGCTCACAGGCTCCACAAGAAAACCCATCAGCGAACGCAAGCAGTGCGCCCAGCCTCCATTTGGCGAGAAGCATTGGGAAAGCCGCTCGACACGACAGTCAAGGAACACCGCAGAGAGCTCGTGGCTGGCATCTACCTTCATCTTCTCATTGTTTCCCAGCAGAACGATGTCACTGAGGAAGCAGCCGCCGCTGCCGCCATTCGAGAACTCCCGGACAAGCTGGACAACTCGAGACGCGACCTCCAGCACCGCGGTGTTGGTCGGAGCACAAGTAAGCGTCCGGTGCCCCCTGAGCAGCATCGCCCAGAGTATGGTGCTGATGGTCTTGGTTTTGCCGGTCCCTGGAGGCCCCCATATCAGCTTCAGGGAAGGAGAAGGGCTCCCCATTGCTGCAACGGAGTCCTCTACTGCGTTCAGCTGCGACTCGTTAAGCCTGAACCTGTCGAGCCCAAGGTCGGCGGCGGCAGCTGACCGATGAGATGACTGGGACCCGGAGTCGTTTTCCACTGCCTTCATGTGGAAAAGTGAAATTTACAAGTAATTAAGCCAGTGACAAAGAATGATATATAGCACGCTGCATAAGAAGAGTCTACCTTCGAGGCGCTGTATCTCCAGATGGCATCCACGAGACCGGCATCGCTCACTCTCTTCCGACCGCTCGTCTTCCCCAGCTGAAGGCACGTCCAAATGCGATTGTACGTCTTGGTGTTCATGAGAAATGAGACGAACAACGGCGCCACGGGTCTGTTTGTTCCGGCGTCGACCTCCACGGGCGGAACAGCCGTCGACAGCCTGACGATGAAGCAGTCAGCTGGGAAATCCTCGTCGTCCCCAGCTCTTGCAGACCGAACCCAAGACGTAGGATGACGGGTGCTTGCCCTTCCTCGAGGAGGAGATGGCGACGATGTCGTCCTTGACGGGAGTGTACGATGTTCTCCTGGCAGCTAGAAAACAGAAGAAGAAGGCCGAGGACTTCTCGCCATGGTCGAGCTTCTGAACCCTGGTTACCTGAAGGAATGGTGCTTGGTGGTAACCCTCGAACGAAGAGAGGAAGTCCGCGTGGACTTCCTCGACCAATGGCTCAGCAAACGAATCCAAGTAATGCTCCAGCGATGAGAATGTCTTGGGTATTTTCTTCACCTGGAACGACCGAGTGGTTCAACCATTATTAATTTATTATTGCATGAATATTGACTCATTTTTCATATACCTGTCGTTATGCTGTTAAAATGTGATTGAAAAAGAAGCTGCAACATTTCTTATTCTTGTACTAACAGTTATTAAAAATTAAAGATAACAAACAAGTCACAATGCGTGCTAGAAAGAACCGCCTGTGAACAGCGGCGGAGATTGAAAGAAACCTCAGGAGGCACGAAGCTGCAACTTTTTTCGGATACCAAATCATACGACTACACTAAAAGAACAAGATTGTGATGCAAGCCACTTTAACAGCGGCAAGCCTGCAGCTGGGACTTTCATCCTCGGCTGGTTTCTTTCTGTATCCCTCTTGTTGCCCACTGCTACGACAAGTCCCAAATTGCCTTGCTGATTCAATAAGTCCACGCATGGTTTTGTTGCATTATCATGTTCATGACTTTGATGTCCATACTGGAGCAACAAATAGCTTTATTACGCATGCTTTTGAGGAGGCTGGGCATTCAGTCAATGCTGGTTCATTAGCTTCTCTCACAATCACCTCTATTTCTTCTGTAAAATGGATCAATAGTGTTCCCCATAAGCATCGCTGGGTTCGGTTCTATACTCTATAGGCTGTAAACCACAAACCTATTCAGCGCAAAATCTCTGCCCTAATTAGAAATTTCCCCAACAAATTAAGATGCAGTGGGAAACTGGAACTGAATTGGATAAGATTAGAAACGGGGAGAGGGAGGGTAGAGTGGTAGACTGCTCTTGCTGCTCACTGGCTCACCGCGCGCGGCGCCGGCGTCGCCTGATGCCTGAGCGCGGCCGCGACGAGGCGTTGATGCCTCTGGCCGTCCGACGGTCTGGATTACGGGCGCCCGCGGCCGGTGGCCCGCCACCCCCCACGCCGGAACGCATCTGCCCCCGCCCACCCACGCCGCTCGCCAACGCCAAGTCCGCGCGAGAACAGAGCTGGTCGGTCGCTGCTTTTTTTTTTTGGCTGCTCCCATCTCTTTTTTTTGGCTGCTCCCCTCTCAGTCCAGGTTTGCCCTAGTGGGCCGTATTAGTTATGGGCTGCCGTGTTGTGGGTAACTTTGTTTCCTTTCTGCTGGGGACGACGGCCCAGGTTTGCCCTAGTGATTCCTCAAGAAAAAAAAATGCCCTAGTGAAGCTCCCCCATGGCCTGTGAACCAATCCACTTACCAAATCGACATGTGAGCGAGAAAGGAGTAAAATGCATAAAACCATCACATTCGTGTTACGATTAGCGAAAAATCATCACTTTACCAACGTGGAGCGTGGCGGCTGGCACAACCTACCCATTAGATAAGGCTTTGTTACCAATGTGGCTTGGAAATAAATTTAATGATGATATTGATCCATATTTTGAGACAAAAAAAGGTTGTGTCAAAAGCATCCTCTTTCCATGGTTCTGTTCACTGCTGTGGTAGGGGATGGAGAAACTAATGGATACGCTTGTCACATCTTATCAGTGATGCCTTTGTCACATGCGAAGGTTCAGCTCATGGGCTTCTTGCGGCCCGATATTTTCTAAAAAAAATGTATTTTTTTAAAAGACTGTCAAGATATATCTCTGGGTATTTGTAAAGTTTTAGTAAATAATAAAATTATTTGTAGGCTAAACAAAAAAGACAAAAATTCGGCCAAAATATAAGTCCATTTTGAACTGTGTGTCTATTTTTGTGTGTGTGTAAATGTAAATAAATGCTGAAGAAATTTTATACACACATAGTAGACATGTATCTGCACACGTACACTTATTTTAAGATTTTTTATGTATGTACTGTAATTACTGTTTGAAAGAACGGGCTCCCTAGTGCCTTGCCACCACAACACATTATCGTGGCTTATAGCCATCCAAATATGTCAATGCTATGATTTTTATTTATCATGACTTTATAAAGGTCAGAACATGATCCCTAAAAAAGAGTTAAACCTTAAGCTTGTGTTTTTTGTGAGTTTGAGCGGCGTCTAGGTTGAAAATCAAACTTCCATATAAGAGCGAAATATTGTTCATTGTTGTCCAAAACGGTTTCCAAACAATTACTTAGCAGATAAGATGTCTTTTAAAAATCAGGCAAATTGTTCATATCAAGTAAAACATAGTTATAGTTGTACATAGTGTTTTCTTCCCTATTACTTGGCAGATAGAGCGAAGATTGTAGATTTGCCTCCCCTCTATTGGCGGCCCTGGTGGTTGGTGGCAAGGAGGGGAATCCTGGTGCGTGCGTTCCGGTTAGAGGTTTATGTTAGGATTTTTCAGTCCTCACAAGTGCGGCTCTTGGGGGGATGACAACGCTTCTTCTTTGAGTATGTCTTTTTGCCTCCGTCCCCCCTTGAGCTTGTCCGTATGGAAATAGTCGACAAAGTTTCAGCATAGATTTCTGCCATCTCCTTGGGATGATGAGGTTAGGGTTCCTCATCGTGTAGCGAGATTTGGTGCCAGGTGCTTCAGATATATTCAAGGGTTCAATAGTGACGAATGAGGTTTCAGGGCCACTGGTCCTTAATTGCACGTGCATGAAGACTTTCTGCCTGTCCTCAATAAGGTGAAGTCGTAGGGGGGGGGGGGTTTACGACAATGCCCGCGAGTGGCTCCTTCTGACGATAGAAGTGGTCGTTCGGTGGTCTGATATGTCTCTAACGTATCTATAAATTATGAAGTATGTATGCCATGTTTACAACAATTTTACCCGGTTTTGGTATGATTTGATTAGAACTAACCCGGACTGGCGTTGTTTTCAGCAGAACTACCATGGTGTTGTTTTTTGTGCAGAAATAAAAATTCTCGAAATGGGCTGAAAATTTACGTTTATTTTTTATGGACCAGAAGAGACCCACGGAGCACTGGAGTTGGGCCAGAAGAGACACGAGGGCACGACAAGCCTGGGGAGCGCGCCCCACGAGATTGTCACTCCCGCGTGGACCCCCTTGACGTGAGACCGACGCCAAAAATTCCTATAAATACCCAAACCCCTAGAAAGAACCCTAGATGAGAAATTCCGCCGTCGCAAGCCTGTGTATCGACGAAAACTCAATTGGGACCCTATTTCGGCACCCTACCGGAGGGGAAAATCATCACCGGAGGCCATCTTCATCATCCCGGCGGCCACCATGATGATGAGGGAGTAGTTCACCCTCGGGGCTGAGGGTATGTACCAGTAGCTATGTGTTTGATCTCTCTCATATGTTCTTGATCTGGAACGATCTTGATGTAACCATGGGCTTTGTTAATATAGTTCGATCATATGGTGTTTTTCCCCTCTCTATCTTGTTGTGATGAATTGAGTTTTCACCTTTGAGGTTTCACCATTATCATATTGAATACTTTTATGGATTTGAGAATACTTGATGTATGTCTTGCATATGAATACCCTGGTGACAATGGGGTATTATATTGATTCACTTGATGTATGTTTTGGCACTCAACTCGTGGATTCCCGAGGTGACATTGGGGTAATCTATGCATAGGGGTTGATGCATGTTTTCGTCCTAATTTCTCCCGTAGAAATCTTGGGGCACTCTTTGAAGTTGTTTGTGTTGGATTGAATATTATGAATCTGAAGTTGTTTGATGCGTATCGTACAATTGACTCGTGGATACTTGTAGTGATATTGAAGTATATAGGTGACATTAGAATTGGTTGATGTGTATCATATGGTGTTATTTTAGTACGAACTATAGGGTTGTTCGTGACACTTATAGGGATGACTCAATAGATTGATCGGAAAAGATAACTTTGAGTTGGTTCCGTATCCTACAAACAATTTCATTTTTTGTCCTCCGCTAGATAAGATCTTTGGAGTGATTCTTTGTCGCACGTTGAGGCATTGTTATATGATTCAATTATGTTAGCACTGTTGATAGATTGCACTAGTGAAAATATGAACCCTATACAATTTGTATCACCATCTCTTCGCCGAACTAGTGCACCTATAAAATTTACCATTGTATTTGGTGTGTTGGAGACACAAGATATCTCTTGTATTTGATTGCAGGGTTGTTTGAGAGAGACCATCTTCATCCTACGCCTTCCGCAGATTGGTAAACCTTAGGTCATCCAATTGAGGGAAAATTTCTACTATCCTACAAAACTCCGTGCTTGGAGGCCCAACACGAGTCTACAAGAATAAGTTGTGTAGTAGACATCATGGTCCCAAAAACTCAATGTATTTTTTATTATGTTGGAGGTGCTTTATACTCCCAATGGACAGTAGATTGGGTCCTTTTTCGCAAAAAAACATTTTAAACAATTTTTCAGACATATATATGGCAGGCCTGGTTTTCATTTTCACTACTATATGTAGAATACGATCTTGGTGCTAATTGCCATAACCCAAAGAAATCATGGATTGTAGTTGCTTTTATTCCATGAAAAACAAATTTTATAACCACATTTTTATTATGCGAGAAAATATATATTGTTTTACTATACATAGCAACTCCATCATAATCCCCACAAAAAAAACCCTCCATCATAAACCTGACAAGGCTGTCAATACGTGTTTGCCTTATTGTAAATCATGTACCCCCTCCCTCCATAAAAAAA